TGAACCCTGAATCAACCTCTGTGCTGATCTAAGTCAGGGCACGGCTAACTTACAGATTGAACCCTGAATCAACCTCTGTGCTGATCTAAGTCATGGCACGGCTGACTGTTCCCTTTGCTGAGGGAGGAACTAAGAATAACGTGACATCCTTAGCTTCCGTTCAATGCCATTTGTTCGTGAATCCAAAAAAAAAAAATGTTAAGACTGATGGATTCCGTTTTTGATGTGATTTTCAGCGAGCAGAAGAGGTGATCGCCGGTCACAATGCCAGTGTCCCACTTTTCCTTTATCTTCCCTTTCAAAGTGTACACTCTCCGACCCAAGCGCCAAAGAAATTCCGGGACGAATACAAAAACATTCGAGACAAGATTCGACGCACCTATGCTGGGATGGTTAGTGCAATGGATGAAGCGGTGGGCAATGTTACTAATGCTATGAAGAAAAAGGGGTGAGTTACTCAATATAGGGATCCCAACCAGTAACGTTAATGAGTTATTCCTTTTTCTTTCCTTTTAAGGTTATGGAACAACACTCTTATGATTTTCAGCTCGGATAACGGTGGTATCCCCCTTTATGGAGGCTACAATTGGCCACTACGAGGATGCAAAGCAACCCTGTGGGAGGGAGGGGTGAGGGCTGTAGCATTTGTTCATGGGAACATGATAGAAAAGAAAGGAAGGAGAAGCAACCAACTAATGCACGTCACTGATTGGTTCCCTACACTGACGTCACTTGCAGGTGAGAGGGACGGGGCACTAAGGCAAAAGAATGCAATAATTCTAATTGAATATTCAAATCTTAATATGTATCATAATAGGGTTAAGCGGTTCTTTTTCACTGGATGGTGTGAACATGTGGAAGACGATATCAAGAGATGATCCATCCACACGAACAGAGATACTGCTGAACCTAGACCAGGATACCAACCATGGCATAGCCGTTCGGGTACGTCACATGAAACTACTGGTTAATGTTACTTACGTCCCGTGGTTCGTACCTCCAGAGTTTAACGATACATTGACTCCTGACTGGAATAACCTCGAAGTAAGTGCATAACTACTTCTAGACTAATAAACGCGGATCATCGTAACCATTCACTTCGTATTAAGGCTTGCAATATTGCACGTAAGAAGTTTCATCAATTATTTCATCGCAATGCTTTGACTGTTTTTAGAATGTGTACAAAAAAACCAGAGTGGCTTTGTTTAACATTACCGCTGACCCAAAAGAACGCCATGACTTAAGTTCCAAGTTCCCGGATGTAGTTGCTCGATTAATGGAGCGAGTAGAATTCTACAAGAAGGGCGTGGTACCTCGACGCAATCAACCACCAGATCCAGAGGCGATAAAGACGGCCAGGCGTAAAGGCGCGTGGGGACYATGGAAAACTAGACGTTGGTTCGCATGACCATGAGAAATGGCGGTCCCGTCAAATTCAGAGACGTTAAGGTGGAACCAAACTAATTCAAAGCGAATTTTGGACAATTTTATTCTCCCTCCCTTCGCCAAACTAGTGCGTCAATTTCACTGGATTTTTCTTATAATGTGCTTGGATTATCCTAGATTCTAACAGTGTATTTTATTTTAAGATTTTTTAAATGTTCAGCCTGTTACGGCCGAAAATCAAACAGTGCTATTCTTAGTTTTTGGCTTTTTTCTCCTCATCCTCAGGTACGATTTTTTTGAACTTTTCAGAATCTTATCATCTAGTACTAATGCAGCCTTTGTATAAATTTGGATGGAAAGTCTTGGGCAGAAAAAAAGTTATGACGCCGCTTGAAAATTCGTTCCAAAATTTGAAGCTGATATGAAACATCGCGCTGCAGAAACATTACCATTGAATCGATTGCCTTGAAGTTTTCACATATCTGTTTCCAATTATTGCGAATGAGCCTTACCAAAAATCAGCATCAAATCTTAAAAACTCATCGAATAAATGTTTTTTTTTTACTAATTGTCGTTGTAAACCTCAAAAATGAGAGTTTTTTCGCCGTTTTCTTCAAAACGGCTCCAAGTTTTTTCTTTAAACTTCCTACATCAATAGGCCAGAGCTTTATCTAGATGGTAGTGAAATTTCTACAGCTCCTCCTATCAAAATTTTGGAGAAAACATTTTCTAAAGTGAGGTGTACCTAAAGAGCTAGAAAATCAGTTAAAAGGAGACTCTGCTCGCAGGGTATTGTACGTACGGTTTAACATCGCATCCAAAATGTCCAAAAATACATGCATGGTTTGACAGCTTGAGACAGCGGGAGGGACGATAAATTAAATTGCTTGATGGAGTAGGATTTTTCCTCATTAGGCGAGGAAAAAGAAAGGTAAGAGCTGTCTCACTGGCATCGTTCATCTCGTTATTCTCCGTAGCCGACACTACGGCGTTTTTTCAAACAAAATAGTAAATATATTCATGAACAAATAATGACGCTAGCCAGAGCAAACAAAACTCGACTCGAAAAAATTAATTTATGCAAAATTGTTTCTTCGAATCAAGAATTACTGGTTATCTTTGCCTGCCAGGCCGTGTTAGTGTTTCCCGTTTTGTTTTGGATTTTTTCACTTGCCATCAATATTGGTGTATCACGTGGCTTTAGTCTTTCTACATAAGAAGCCAGAAGCCATAACAAAGTGGAAAGAGCGTCGTGACTCGATGTCACTTGAAATACGATCCGTTCTTGTTGGTGTGGCATTCTCTTTCAAGTTTGGAAGGTTCTGCTGAAAGAAGCCTAAATATTGTCGAAAAACAGGCTTGTTTAGCGCTAATTTGTGTTTCTAACAGAGAGTACTTCAAGGAAAAAGAGCGAACATGGTTAGTTGGTGGAGTTTGTGGGCAATGCTGCTCATATCGGGCATGCTTTCTTTATCAGGTAAGCTGATGTAGTTGTTTAGTCAATGTTTGAACGGTAACGCGTGGGTTTTTGGCAAAGCAAAACTTTGGTTTAGCAACATTGATTGTCATTCAGACCACATTCAATTTATCGAGTGTATCATTGAGTTTTTATACGACTATAGCAATGATCGCTAGCCGTGTTGTAAAAACCTTCACGATCATAGTTATTGTAATGATGTCCTCGGCGTCCATCTTGATTTGAAGGGCACGATAGCGTTACTTATATCCAGCAGAACATGGATGGGTTTCTTTCGACTTTCGAGAAAAGTAGATTGCTCTTGGTGAGCAGTTTTCGTTAGTACACTTTAATGGTTTACTTGCGAGAAAAACCATTCGTAAAAAAACAATTAACGGCTACCTGTTTTTAATATATTTGCTGGCCGTTCGAGTCTGAACTAAAGAACTGAACTACGCTGGAAAGAAAATAAAGCGAGACAGTTCTTTTCTTTCCTTTTTGAGCCCACATGGAAGAACTTTATTTCAAGTTGTTTATTTGCTGCTTAGTTTAATAGGCTCACTTTAAGTTCACTCTAGATTTGAGCTGCGTTTTAGTTTAGGCGGGAAAGGAAGTTGATTCAAGGCTCTATTTATTTTTGCTTGAGCTGAACATTTTCTTAGCATTTTTTTGCATTTAACTACCAAAGAATGTTCCCTATTTTACTTACATACCAACCCACAAAAACTACTGAATCACAGTCTACTAACTTTTGAAGTGAAACCTTCAAATAAGGCTACTATGTTGACCTTCAGTGAGATATGTAGCAACAAGACTTACTCGAGTCAAATATTCCCGTTGGAGTAATTTGAACACCAACGCAAATCACATAACTTAAATTAGCATTACACTAACACTGAAGACGTCTCACTACCGGTCGTGCAGGGATGGATATTAATCGAGAGATCACAGAAATCGAAGAGATCGTCTCCATGATGTACAAAAAACGTTAATTGTTAGGTAGAGATTATTTGGCATAAAATATGCGAAGAATGTCTAAATATAAGGATGGATCATCTTTCATACTCCGGTGTTGTGATCTTTATTGATGTAACTCAAAGCTTTCTTGGTTTGTAAAACCCAATTACGACTAGTAAAGCAGGCTTTCGAAGATAACATGCATCTAGTAAACTCTACCGAGGTGGTTTTTCCGGCATTTGGTTTTACATAATGTACGAAAATTACACAATATCAGTCCCTATGCACATGCAAGTAAAGTAGATAATGTATTATACAAAAACAA